TTTTTTTTTTTTTTTGAAAATTCTTTGAAGACATAGCAAGGCTGAAAAAAATCTCAGCCTATGATCTTTCTATATTCACATTTTGTTATGCTTGTTTTATCACATATTTATCCATCCTTTATACCTCTATCCACCCATAAACCTGCCTTTTTAGAAATATACATTTCATGAACTGCAGACTTCTGTATGGCTCTTCCCTTATGTAGTCACATGCACATCTTTTTAGAAATAGCCATTCATTTATTTTGGACTAAAAAAAATTAGACTTTACATTATTAAAAGGAATGTACTAATGTGACAAAACTTTTTTTTTTGGTACCAGGGATCGAACTTGGGCTGTTGCATTTGAGAGGCAGGCAGTGGAACCACTGAGCCAAACCCCCAGCCCAACAATAACATTTTTTTCGATTAGTGCATATTACTTTTATTGAACAATGGGTTTTGTTTTGGTATGTGCATACGTATGTTTAATGTACTTTTCACCTATATATATTTCTAATTAGTGCTTTGTATTTATATAAAATGCTGATAACAAATCTTCCAAGCTCCTATGTCCCATGTTTTGTTGCTCTTCACAGCCTTCTTTACCTTAGTTGTAGTCGGAGATTATGTTCAACTCCGCCGAGGTTTGATGTTGAATGTTTCATAAAAGGTAATTGTATTGCCCTAGAAAACATGTTAAATCATGCTAGCAATGTAGTAAATATGTAGTAAATGAGAGTAAGAATTTCTTTGTTCCACCCAAACTCAGGAAAGCTATCGATCTTTCTATATTCATAATAGTTAGTAGGGTTATAATTATAAAGATCTTTGAAACATGAGAATATTGGCTATAGAGGATGGATACTTTGGGAAGCCTAATACTTTTCTTTGTTTTTCTTGTGATCGGTGCTGACTTTATATAATGTTTCTTTTCCTGCAGCATATTTCTTAGCTTTTTTTTTTCTTTTTATTGAGTTTATTGGTACAATCTAGGTATACAATACAAGTACATTCATCATTGGGATTCTGTACCTTTACATAATAGGTCTTGATTTTCATTTTTTCCCCTTGTCCCTGTCCTCCCTTCATCCCTCCTCTCCTCCCCATTTACAAACACTTTATTTCCATTTTTTCAGTTTCTCATATTTTTTCCTCTCCCTTATTACCTTTCCCCCACCCTTCCCACTTACCCTACACCTTTAGCCCTTTACTTCCTATTTCACATTATTAATTATCTCATTAGGATCCTGTGCACTATTATAGTTTTTCACACCAAAGAAACTATTCGGTATTTCACTTAAAGAAATCTCTGTATGAACATTAAAAATAGGGAATCCTAAAATAAAACTAAAAAGGAAAGTAAAAGAGAAAAGGCAATGATGTAACATTAAAATAATCCTTAATTCTGGAGATGAAAATGGTCCCTGAACATATTTCAATTGCTTCTCACTCTTATAGTCTTATCTTATTCTTTTTTTCATTATTTAGAGAATACTTTATTAGTTTCTGTAATCAAACCCACGTAGATGTGACCTTACATATTTAGTATAATGTGTTACCCCTGTACACATGGAAAAAAAATAAAAAATAAAAATAAATTAACATTTCTAGACCA